AGCTTGAAGGCTCTCAGAGCTACTAACAATAGAAATATAAAACAAACAAAAGCACCCAAACATCCTAGTGACAAATAGTTTGTAACATGATCCTACACTGAAATACCTTTCATAGACACTTTTGAGATCCATAGCAAAGTATTCTGGGAGCATGAAGTGTTCTGAAGCTCATTTCTCTGTGTTGGCATTCTTGATGTCAGATTCATTCTTGAGTGAAGGGATCATCCTGTTTATCCTATACCTATATAGAAATAGAAGGGCACTGCTTTGCTATGGATTTCAAGGTGGTTATTGTAGAAAAATCAACTACAAGGAGAGATACAAGAGGGGAACACAAGAGGGTGACACAAAAGGGAGACTACATAAACAAATTCTAGTGCACCTGTAGTGACTTAAATAGAGAGGAAAGCTTCTGTTACCTATTTATTACTAGCCCAGCTTTGTATATTATTTTACAAGTACAAAATATCTACCTTCCTTGACAGACTCTGATCTCGGTCCCAGACACAACTCTTAGCATTCTTGTGAAAGCTTATCACTCCGGCTAGGATCTGCTTAATTAATTAATTAATTAATTAATTAATCCCCCGCCTATATAAATTAACAGCTTGATAGTCCCATTCCTATAGTAATGAAGCATTGTCACGTTGTCTCTTATTGGTATCTTAACCTGTACTCCTGTATCTGAAGAAGTGGATTTTGATCTGTGAAAGTTCACACTGAGATAAAATTAGGTGCTACAGTGTTTTGCCTTTCCACACTTCCTCTTTTGCCAAGTTAATACTGTACAGTATTAGTACTAGTTAACTGTACTTGCAACAGATGGAAAGGCAGAATGGTGCCACTGTATGGCTTGCCACAGAAGCAGTAATATCACTGGTGCTGTCCAATAGAGGACCTGACAAGTGTTTGTACCAGCAGGGAAAATGCTTTTTTTCTTAGATGGTTAAGTAGCCTATTCCATAGGTAGTTATCAAATACTGTAGGTGGTATAATATTTATTCAGTTACAGTGGTGCCCCGCATAGCGAGGTTAATCCGTTCCGGATTAACCGTCGCTATGGGGAAACATCACTATACGGAACGGAAAAAACCAATGGGGCCCAAAATTCACCGTTCTGCGATGTTTCCCCATCCGGCCGCCATTTTCGCACCCTCAGTAAGTGAGGGCAGGGCGTGAAAACACTGCGTGTGGCCATTTTGGGTGTCCGGTGGCCATTTTGGAACTGCCGATCAGCTGTTTAAAAAATCGCTATGCGAAAATCGGTAAGCGAGACGCTTACCGATCGTCGCAAAGTGATTTTCGGCCATAGAAAGCATCGGTATGCGATCGCATTAGCGATCCCAAAAATGGATCGCTATGTGAATTCCTCGTTAAATGGTGCGCTCGTTATGCGAGGCACCACTGTACTTTCAAGAGTTCACACAACATAAGCAACAATAGATGTGATTATGTGTGGGGGGGAACTGCCCCTTTCCTCTGGTTAAATGTTGTCATTTGTGTACTGGGAAAACGCAGTAATCCACAAAACATTGGGATGATCTCAAAAGGCAAATGTTCCCTACTTATACCCTAGTTCAGTGATCAGGGAACAGGGGTAAAAAGGTAAAGGTAAAGGTTCCCCTTGACAATTTGTCCAGTTGTGTCCGCCTCTAGGGGGCGGTGCTCATCTCTGTTTCCAACCCATAGAGCTAGAGTTTGTCTGCAGACAATCTTCTGTGGTCATATGGCCAACACGACTAAACACGGAACACCGTTACCTTCCGTCAGTGGTGGTATCTATTTATCTGCTCGCATTTTGCATGCTTTCGAACCGCTAGGTTGGCAGGAGCTGGGACAAGTGACGGGGGCTCACTCCGTCACATGGATTCGATCTTACGATCTGCAGGTCTTCTGATCTTGCAGCACAGAGGCTTCTGCGGTTTAACCCTCTGTGCCACCACAGGGGTAAATTACCCCAAATGGAGTAAAAATGAAAATCCTGGGGGTAATGAACAGAGTGCTACCCCCCACCTCCTGCAGCCGAATCTTAAACTGTAAGCCACCTATCCCTGCTACCTTCCTTGGTTGCAGTACTTGTAAATCAGTTCTTTTAGAGATCAGAGATAAGGCTGCTTTATTGTTTACGGCTGTAGAACAGCCCGGGGCAGTCAATCTGGCTTATGAATGAAGGGAGGTGGGAAAGAGGGACAAGTGGATTCATCAAGCTTGTTTAAAGGCAAGATTGTAGAAAATTTAGGGAGGGACGGAGGGTAGGTGGGTGTATGTGAGAGAGAGACTGACTTTCATAAAACCAGGAAAAAAGGATGTGACTGCAAGGAGAGAAGGTTCCAATTAAGGTGGGAAGGAAGGTGCGAGAGAAGGATTGGGTGGTTTCATCAAGCTTGTTTAAATGTAATGAGAGGAATTGGACATACTGAACTGAAGCAACTGATTGTTGAAAATTTAGACTGTGTTTGTGTGTGTGTGTGTGTGTGTATGATTGAGAGAGTGTGTGTGTGAGAGAGAAAGAGAAAGAGAGAGAGAGAGAGAGAGGCTCCTGGTCCTGCTTTGATTGCAACATCAAACAAAAGGTCTTACAAACAAAGACTGTGGCTTCCTTTATTGAATCAATCCACCTCACGTGCATTCTTCCTCTTTTCTTACTGCATTGCACTTTTTCCTGCATTGCTGCCTTTTCCAGTGAGCTTGCCTTCTCATGATGCCACTGAATTACAATACCCATTATTTGGTTATTTAGCTTCTGGTGAGAGTCCACACTTAATTTGCTTTACTTATGTCTCTGACAAGTCATGCTACCTGTAAAACTCTTTTCCAACATTACATTTCAAATAAGTGAAATGTGTGTATACACTTTATGTAGTGTATAAAAAGTGTATTACAAGTCTGCACTCCTATATATAACTGCTTTTCTGAGGGTGGTTATTTTGGAGGAAACAAGTCCAGGATTTAATAAGCTTTATAAATGTTGTTCTTTAGTCATTAAGTCGTGTCCGACTCTTTGTGTCCCCATGGACCAGAACACACCAGGCCCTCCTGTCTCCCACTGCCTCCTGGAGTCGGGTCAAATTAATGTTGGTAGCTTCGATGACGCTGTCCAACCATCTCATCCTCTGTTGTCCTCCTCTTGCCTTCACACTTTCCCAGCATCAGGGTCTTTTCCATGGAGTCTTTTATTCTCATGAGATGGCCAAAGTATTGGAGCCTCAGCTTCAGGATCTGTCCTTCCAGTGAGCACTCAGGGTTGATTTCCTACAAAATGGATAGGTTTGTTCTCTTTGCAGTCCAGGGGACTCTCAAGAACCTCATCCAACACTACAATTCAAAAGCATCAATTCTTTGGCGGTCAGGCTTCTTTATGGTCCAGCTCTCACTTCCTTACATCACTACTGAAAAAACCATAGCTTGGATTATGCGGACCTTTGTCGGTACACAGCCTGCTAGTTTGGTACACAGCCTGTAGATTCAATAAGATTTTGAATTAAAATAATGTATGATTTCCTTCCTTTGAAATCAAGGGGGTAATGTTGGTGTATATACATTTTTGGGGCTAAAAGGTAAAAACGTTCTCTGACCCCTGCCCTAGTTAGATTGCTGCATACATTTTAGTCACACAACGCACAGCCATTATAGGTTCATTACCAGGCAAACGGTTTAACCGGTTCATTTCTTCCTTGCCAGAAGGCTTGCATTCATTTGTTCTGAGGGCATTTCAATGTATTTGTTATTGGTATGATGTGTGCATGACCCTCTTGATTCTTTTCTAAAGCCAAGTCACCAGGAAAGGTGGCTGTCATTATTTCTGCACAGCTGCCCTGCTCAAATTTTTTTTAAAAAAGTTCACTGCTGGAATATTGATATGTAGGTAAATTTACTTTAAAGGACAATCGCATTACAGTGGTACCTCGCTAGACAATGACCTCGCAAAACGACAAATCCACATGATGAGGTTTTGCGATCGCGATAGCGATTCGCAAAACAGTGATTCCAATAGGCGATTTTCGCTTGACGATGATTTGGTCCGTGCTTTGCGGACCGTTTTTTTCACAAGATGACTATTTTTATAGCTGATCGGCGGCTTCGCAAAATGGCCTCCCTATGTTTTCGGGACTAATGCTTCGCAGAACAGCCATTTTTACAACTGATCGGAGCTTTGCAAAATGGCTGCCCTATAGGTGATCTTCGCAAAACGACGATTTTTCCCCATTGGAACGGATTAAACGGGTTTCAATGCATTCCAATAGCTAAATGGTTTTCGCACAACAATGATTTCGCTAAACAGCAATTTTCACGGAACAAATTGTTGTCGTCATGTGGAGCACCACTGTACTGCACTTACTGTCTGGCAAGTGAAATGGCCATGGATAGGAGTGCCGGGTCCACTGAGTGCAGTGCAGGTTTTCCAGAGGTAATAGTGCAACTGAGGAAATTTTACTGAACAAGAACGTCTACCTAACATGACAACGTATGCCGCCTAGAGTGGCCAAAGTAGTAGTAGTAGTAGTAGTAGTA